TTCACATTTCTATACAGTAACTGTGATTATGGTCCTCTCAGTGGCCATAGCCTAAGACCATGAGACTCCAAACACTGGCCACTTTCAGTACAGTAGCATCCAAGGATCTGCTGTGGTAGGACAAGTGTTTTATGTACTGCTGCTATTCCTCAATAATGAACAAAGAGATGCTGGTTTTGTATGCACCAGCTTTCCCAGTTAGTGTCTACTGGGGCAGTTGGTGCATATTAACAGCATGGCTGCATCACAACACTGTATATCCTCCGTATATTTTATTTCACAGTAGCTTAGTAGAAACAATCTGGTCACATTGCTTTTTTCTATATTCATTTTGATATCCCTTTACTAAAGTCAGTATATTTTAAATCAACTTAAATTACATGTGTAACTTTAAAAAAGACAATGGGGAAAGAAAAAGAAAGAGAACAGCAGGTAACCCTTTTAAAATACCTGATTATATATCCTTTTGCTTTCTGCTTCCAAATCATCATCTGAGATGTCATGATCTTTAAAAGCCTTTGGCACATTGATCCTCCTGCAGTTTGTATATATGTTTTCAGGAGTCCATAATTCCTCTACAGCACGTGCCGAAAGTGTCTTAACATAGGACCTGTTATGTGGGACCAACAGAGGAACCTCCACTGTCTTCTTCCAAGGAGCAGAATGCCACTGATCTAATCCGTACAGGTTTTGTCTCTGAAGTTTTAGCTCCTGGGTAGGTTGGACAGAAATGAGCTGATCCAAGCCTTCAGCACTTCCAAAAACACCAGCATCAAGGATTTTTATAAGGAACTTGAGTGAAAAAAAAAGAAAAAAAGAAAAGCTGCATTACACTCCCATGCATCTCCTTCAGAGGTACTGGATTTACACATATTTAGAGAGAGACATTTCAAGATGCCATATACCAGTTAGAAACCACATTCATGTATACGTGGCCCTCAAAGAGAATCAGGTTAATATGCCCCCAATACATTAAGTTTTACTGCTCTTCAGTTGAGCTACTTCAAGCAATCAAATTTCAGCCCTGTGAGATGATTTAAGATTTTAGAAAGCTTTTGTTCTGAATTGGAAGAAAAAGCCAATACAACTGTCTCTCTTTTTTTTTCAGGATTCAAACCCCAAGTTATTTAGTTTTGAAAAACACCCAAAATGTGGTGTTTCTGAACTGAAACATGTTATCGTTATCCAGAATTCATAGAGGTTAGGGGCTGGAAGGGACCCCTCGAGATCATCAGGTCCAGCCCTGGCTGTCGCCTCCTCTCCCACCGGGTAGCTGCAGATCTGGAGAACCTGGAAGCACTTGCACCTGCTGAATGAGCCCGATTTGATTCTTTTTAGTTTGCTGATTGCCCAGCAACAGCAGTGGTGGAAGCGACCTTGCCAAAATAAATGAGAATCATAAATTGAGGTGCCTGGTTGAGCTAGGACTCCCAGCTGGGCTGAACAAGAGATAGGATCCCTGAAGTACTAGCTCTGCTGTAGCTTGCCTACTGGATTGCTGATGGGCTGAAAGCAGGAGCTCCCACAACTCCCCAGCCCCCAGACCAGACCAAAAATCAATTGGTGGGATTTGCAACTTGGATGCTGTCTGCCTGGAGGGCTCTAGAGCAGGGGTAGGCAATTATTTCGGGCAGAGGGCCTCTTACTGAGTTTCGGCAAGCCATCGAGGGCTGCATGACAGGCAGCCTAAGGCAGATTAATATTAATTTTAAAAATTTTTTAGGGGCCCCGCAGGCTGGATAGAGTGGCCTGGCGGGCTGCATGTGGCCCGCAGGCTGCATTTTGCCCGCCCCTGCTCTAGAGTCTATAGCTTGCCATGCAGGCAAGCTGGATGGAAGCTATGTGCTTGGGTTCCATTTATTCCAAAATCAGCTGTTTTCCTAACCCTGACAAAGTTTTTGGGTGAAGTACTCAGGACCAGCTTTGATCCCATGAACATCCCTTGCATACATACACTTGGGAAACTGCAGGTGCAGTCTTCATAGGCTAGAGTTATGCTGGGTTGGATTAGGGTAAGGATAATGCATGCTAGAATGGCACCAAGTGTGTCCCCAACTTTTAGTTCCCACTCTGGATTATCCCCACATGGACAGAGCTGTCTTTCAGAGATACGGAATAAAGACAGGAACATGACTCCTTTGCATAGTCCCAAAAGGTATTTTGGTGTTCAAACTATATTTCTCTTGACACTGCAGAACTCATTAATGATGAAAAGCCATTGAACCAACACGCCTATCTCCCTGCATGGGCCCAAATGGAGGTTCAAGTCTTCAGTAGATACAGCCATAGCTTTTTGACTTCATATACTTACCGGCAATGTGGCTTGAGCGGTCTCAGCAGATCCGTGACATAGCTCATCTACTTTTGCTCCTTGTTTCCTTTTAATCTTCCTGTATTCTTTCAGTGCATCATCTACAAATTTAGTTATAATTTTTTCTACTATGGTTTGTGCTGTGCAAGGGCCGTGACTGTTAAGCATATCAAAGTGGCACAATAAGACATCAGAAACTGCGGCTGATTGTTCAGAGAAGCTATCAGTGTGATTCTTCTTAAAAAGCAACCTTTTCCCACTGTCTACTTTTTCAAAGCCATCTTTTCTCATTTTTCTTTCACAGACACTTTTATATTTGTGTTCAGCTGTTGCAGAGAATGCAATTAAAGTGTCAAGCAGAAGTTTTGTAGTGAGTTCACTAGAGATAGCATCAGCCAGTTTATTTCTCTCTTGATCCTGCAGTAAGCAGCTAATATGTCTGCTGATGCCAAATTCCCCTGTGAGGCTGTCCTTATTTCTGACTGGAAGCACATTTGCAAAGGTCTGTTCTATTTCCATCCGTTCTGTTGTTTCCTTATCAGATTCAAAACCTGCCGAACAAGTTGGAAGGGTGAATTCACTGTGCTTCCAGCTAAGAGACTCATGATTTATTACTGATGAGGAGGACGTGTGCGATCTAGACTTGTTTTCTTTTGATGCTGGACCTTCTGTATTGCAAACATCTTCCGATTCCTCTTCCGTATATCCTGTCCTCTTTTGGTCACTGTCTGCAGAATGACTGGCCCCTTTGGATGGAGCATCACCATCAGAGAATGAATCTTCATCCCCAGTGTAATCACAACTACATTCGCTATCTTCCAAGAGACGCGAAATTTGGTCAGGTCTGACAAATACACCACAATCTTTAGCGCACACAAAATATTTCACTCCTCTGTAAGTTCCATCGTGGTCGCCTTCAGGTTTGTCAAGTGCCACACCAGCCCAATAACCGTTATCAAAATTAGTATATCCTTTGAACATCAAAGTGCCTGGCTGGGCATACTTTACTAATACTCTGTTTCCAACTTCAAATGATAATAACGGGTCATCGGCCTCCCCTTGAGCTGTGGATAGCGTTAAGAAAGGTTTGCTTGGCTTCTTTAAGCATTCAGGACTTTTATTGACTTGACTTGACAAAATAGGATTGGATACCAATGATAAACCCGATTGCTGCAGCACGCTCTTGTTTTCTCCTCCTGCCTGTTCCAGTAAGCCCTCCCTTCTATCTGAAGTATTTTCTTTATCCCAAGAAAGTCCTAAAAATTTTCCATCCTGAACTGAAACATCACCACCTAACTCTGGAGATGGTGGGCCCACTTCTTCATCAGGCAGTGAGCATAACTGATCCTGTATTACTGACACATCTGCATCTGTATTATCTCTAGCCTCCGAGAGTATCAGCTGTTCTGGCGGGGAAGGGAAGTCTTCTGTGCTGAAGCTAACATGGTCACTTTTTATCCCACCCGCAATTATGGGAGGTGCGGGTAAACCACGACACTGAAATGAGAAATCCGTTTTATTGGATGATGGCAAGTCAATACTTCCATAGGACAGCACTTCATCAACCGGAGAGAGGATTTCTGACAGGGTGTCTTCATCAATTGGAGGCAGAACCTCATCATCACTGACAAATGTCACATCATCTTTGCACTCAGGATGACAGCGCTTAGCTTGAGACGACTGCTGTTTGGAGGAGACGGAAGACAGTGTGGGTTTGGGGGTCTGACTTCCTGTTGCTGGGCTTTTCTGATTTTCCACACTCGCCCTTTGCAATGTTTCAACATCAGATGGTCTGATTGCAGCTTCCACAGGGACCTCTACAGCTCGGGTGCGCGGAGATGCAGTTTCAGTTGGGTTGCCGGATACAGGTCGGTCAGATAAAAGTTCTGCATCAGTAGCTTCACCTTCCAAACCTGCTGAGTCTCTGGAGACTACAGGGGATGCTATAGGAAGTGAGGACATTTCATCATCTGTCATCAATTCTTTAGGTGGAAGTGATACCCTCTTACCAACAGCAACCTCACTGAGATGCTTCGAGGAACCTACTGCATGGCACCCGAAGAGCTCCGTCTTACTCTGATCAACAGGTAAATCATCGTCTCTGCCATCTTTTTCCACTCTGATGGCTGTGGAGCTGGAGCCCTGCAGTCCAAAGCTCTTCCATGCCCCCCAAACGTCATTGCTGTGCAATAAGGAGTTAAATGAATCTCTGCCCTGCTCAGATTTTCCTGGAGTGGAGACCTTGTTTAAATTGCAGTTTTCGGAGCGGGACGATGGAGTTGAAGCGTCCATATGTGGTCCATATCTCCCAATGGCAAGGTCATCAGACTGGAGGGGAAATGGCTCTTCTGTCTTTGAGATGCTTGGCTGTGGATTTCCATTGTTCAAGGGGGTGTCGCGATGTGATTTGTGAACACAGTCACAACCTGGAACAACTCCAAGATATTTCCCAGAGCCATGAAAAAACAGCAAAGTCTCATCAGGGAGCACTTGTTCATCACATTTGTCATCAGATAATAATTCGTTCCCATCACCTAGCACCGTTCGCATCTGGGTCAAAGGGTTGGAAAACACATCAACATCCTCATCATCTTGCATGGCAAACTCCTCAGGGATGCTGACATCGGTGTCCTGTCCATCCTCAGCTCCCAACTCGGATGCTGAAGCAAAGCTTTCAGAGATGTCGATCCGAACGGCAGATACTTTCCGAAACTCCGGGAGGGAATGGCAGGATTTGTTACTCTTGCTGCTGTGAGACGAGTCCTGTGATTTGGTGGATGAGGCAGCAGAGCCTAGTCTCTCTGAACATGATTTCAAACCCTTCCCTTCGCCGAGGAGATTATGAAGACTGTCACAGAAAGGCTTGGCCCACCCCTCCCTTTCACCGGCAGGAGTTTCCTCATGTGCTGCAAACACATCCTTTTTTTCTTCTTTGATGACTGGAACATCTGCAAAAATCAGCAAGTCGTGAACATAATTTAGCTTGATTTTATCCCCTGGTAATTAACTCTTCAGATCCTGCAGTCCTTAAATCCCAGGGCTTTTGCTTTCTTATTTAATTTGATCATGCCTGTGAAGACACAACTGCTGGAAACTTTTCTTTTCTTGTTCAAGCTATTATTTGCAATAACCATCTGTAAGCTAGAAAGCAAGGCTGCTCAACCTCCTGGTACCATCCTGTTCATGTCTCATAAAAAGAGTACAGTACTTTCCTACTTATGCAACACCTCCGAGCCTTGGCTGTATTTTTCATTACAAAGTCACCGGCATGAACTGGGCAGTTGGAGGAAGAACTGTTTTATTTTTTGCAAATTTTGATACTATCTCAAAGCAAGCAAGTAAAATAATCACCAGTTTAAGTAAATCAGAGGGGTTTAAATCCAGAAGTCTTCAGCATAAAACACAGGCCTCTTATTTGAGCTAAAGGAGGAATGTAATCGTCTGCTAGGAGCAAAAAGCTATTATCCTCTTAGTGGACTGGCCACAAAAAAAGAGGCAACTCAGATGGCAAGCACGCTACACAAACTAAAAAGCTTTGTCGCTCAAATCATTTACCTTGTACCTGCAATACGCAGAGAATAGGGCTATAAAAGGAAGTATAAGGCTGTTTTCTTTGTTAGCAGCACCATTTTAAGTAACATAAGAGAGTACAAACTTCTTCTGAGAGGTTTAGTCTGGTGCTTTGACCAGCGCCAGCAAAGATTTTTTTTGTTGCTCTGAGTAGCAGCTAGCAGAAAAAAAATCACACGCACGTGTGTCTGTGTGTGCACGTGCACATGTGCATGCACTAGTACCGGGTATGATTTTTAAGGAAAGAACATGTGCACTAACACCCCAGATTATGAAACATTGTTCTGTCCTCATTTGTATCCTGAGCAAGGGGCTTGACTTGCAAGGGAGCCAGTATTACCTTAATCAATAGCAAAACTCTGCTATTTTATATTATATATATATATAAATACAAATAAAAAGGACTAGCCACATGTTCAAAAGTTAGGCATATTCTTGAGAACATTGTTGAACTCCAGCCCATAGCAGGCCTCTGTCATTGGGATCCCTGTTCTCAAGGACCAGTGATTACTGCATAAATGTATAAAGCCTCCCCCCAGCTGGCACCTGGCTGGATTTTATGCAATAAAGATCTTTCATTAGTAAAAATGCTGCAAACGAGAACAGTTGCCACGACATATAAATATTTGCAATGCAGAGACTGTGTGTTCCCAGAACTGTATAAATGATGGAACTGACTCATATATAAAAAGCCGGTTTCACTTGTTACAAGTTGTACCGGGGACCAGAAATATGAACTGAAGATAAAACTGGAAACAAAAATAACTCCAGCACGTCCTGTCGAAGTCTATCTTCAACTGATCTATGTTCATTTAAAATGAAGACCCTTAAATTATTTCAAAAGATACCTCAAAAGCAAGTAAATTGTTAATGACACAATCAGAATAAGTTATGATTTTGTTCCGAGGAAGGCGCATAATCATATCTCATAATAAACCTTAGACGGATCTCCAACATCTTGCCTGAAGGTGATTTATACATTAGGTATAGTGAGCAAGACACTTAGGTAATAAATGAGAAGACTGTCTCTCTTTCTGTCTGTATTAAAGTTTGATTGAAGCGGTTGAAACAGATTGGACATAATAGCATTAAATATGATTTACCTGTTTCTTGAAGAGAATTTTCTACTCGAGCAAGGCATAAGTTACACAAAGTGGAAAGCATCCCCAAACCTTTCATTGTAAACTCACTGTCGTGTGAATTAATAGCTTTATTGTCTTTAGGGTCAAGTCCTGCATTTGAAATATGCTTCTTTTCCTCTGGATTGGATTCCTAGAATATAAATGTTCAAGAGGCAGAGTCAGTCATTTAAAGGAGAGGGAGAAAAAGACATGTTGCAATTGGTAGCCTGGGCAAGGACAGTTAACGTCCAGGCAGTGATCCGGCACGCAGCGTCTCACAGAGCGCTTTTACCCAGAGGCGCAGAATTATTGACATGGCCATGTTGCATTAGACAGACACAGGATTTCAAAGAGGGGTCTTCTTACGAGAAACTCATAGCGTTCATCTCCTCCTGACCCAGGGATGAGTGTAGCTTTATCCATTTCAGCTGAATCTCCATCTTCCAGATGTAAGAAAACCTGACTCCTATCACCAGGCTCTGAAAGACGAAGTTTATTGGCTTACAGTGCTGTATTTGCATGCATGAATAAGCAAATGTATGCTTTAAGCATTTGTGTCGCTCAATGCAAGTTCTCTTTATTTCCCATGTGAGTAAATATTTTTAAATTGTTTTTCTGATTTTGCCCCAAGTTTTCCTCGACTCAGCAGACACCACAAAACAAAACAGAGCTATGATAGTTAGCCTTGTTCACCTAGATAACACACAGCTATTTTTCCTACTAACTATTTCATTAAATGTGCTGGAACAGCACTCACCAAGCTAATTCCCTCCTTTTAGGGGTTCAAACAGGACCCTCTCTCAGCGTGCGCCCGGAAATGGAGCCCAAAGACCGTGTAACCAAAACTGTATTGCAACAGTACTATTTGCATCACATCCAGAAAAGTACCTATGCAAATCTTTGCTGTTATCCAAAGGAGCCCTTGTGACGGTGTGTGCAACAAACATATTGATCACGCTTTCCTGGAGGAGACAGCGTGGAACTCCGAGCTGGAGGATGATTTATACCGATATTTAGATGCAGCTTTGTCAACATTGTATGCTTTCATTGTCTATTGTTTAAAAAATCTAAGGGCGAAGCAGATTTGGAGCAGAGATTTCCCAAGGGAAGTACACTTGCAAAGGATATGGAGATATAGCAAGTGTACCCAGCCAAGTTATATATATAGAGATATATCTCTATATATCTATAACCTGTTGTTCATTTT